TCCCCGCCGGGCGGCTGGGCCGTGGCGCGGCTCGAGGGCCGCGAGTTCGAGTACCTCATGAAGAAGCGTTCGGTGACCATTGGGCGCAATTCGTCGCAGGGCTCAGTGGATGTGAGCATGGGCCACTCGAGCTTCATCTCTCGGCGCCACCTGGAGATCTTCACGCCCCCGGGCGGCGGCCATGGCGCGGCGGCCCCTGAGCCCGCGCAGCCCCGGCCCGACACGGGCGGCGATTTCTACCTGCGCTGCCTTGGCAAGAACGGCGTGTTCGTGGACGGCGTGTTCCAGCGGCGCGGGGCGCCCCCGCTGCAGCTGCCGCGCGTGTGAGTGGTGGGTGGGGGTTGCGGCCTGGACGAGGGTCCGACCTGGACCCGCCACCAGACCCCGACCGGGTCTCCAACCCTGAACCGCATCCATCACCATTACGGGATAACGACCTGAACCCCCTCCTCGACCCACACCCATCATCCCCCATCAGATCCCGACCCCGACTCGACCCACATAAACCACCATCATCCCATCTTGACTCGGATCCCGACCGAGACCCGATCCGCCACCACCACCACCTCTAGATCCCCGATCCCGATCCACACTCAGCATCACCACCGAATTCGACCCGATCCTCATGCTCCACCACCACTAGGTCCGGATCTCCGGAGCAGAGGAAGACCCACGACCATACCCAAACCGCAGCCCAGCCCTATCACTGGAGAATCCATGACACAACCCCCAGCACTCTACCCCAGCCTTGTCGGTCATTCACATACTACCCTCCCAATCTACAACTCCTTGCCCAGTTTGACACAAGCACATCCCTACCTACACCCACAGGTCTTGCCTGGGAGGGCCTTCATCTGTGCGTGTAATCATGGTTTTCTGTGCGTCCTTGGAGTTTGCATATTTTGCTCGAGATCAGCAGGTAGGTCGGTCCCAAGGGAATTGTTAGTTGTGTGCAGTGAAGTGGCCAAATGGAAAGTGCCTTCCCTATGGAGGAGTGCTTATCTGCCGCTTTCTTAGTATTGACACGTTATAAGCAACAAATATTCCCAGAGTGCAGTGTGCTAATCACAGGAGCTTCTTTTTCCCACTGTATTTCTGGTCATCTAAATTAAAAACCCAAGCATTTTTAATTCCATGCTCTCAAACAAAATTTTGGGAAAACTGGATACTTTTCAACATAACTTTTTAAAGAACAGCATCAGCGGTTGATTCTTTAGAAATGATTACAAGGTTATGTGGAGCTTGAACAAATAGCGGGAAGGTCAGTCATGCTACAAAAGGGTTGGTTGAGCTTGGTTCTATGGTTTGATGAAGCTATTATTTTCTCTGCTTGGAAAACAAACTTGCTCTCTAGGAAATGCTAATTATTCCTCAGGGGCTCATTTCTGGATCACTGCAAGTACAGCCTTTGTCCACAAACTGGGTTTTTTGTTTTTTAACTACTTTCAGTTATTGGAGATGCTGGTAAGAGCTGGGCTTTTAAAAATTCTTTGTATGTGCTAACTTGATGCTGTTGCTTACATAGCTTTGGAGAGGTGTACTGGCTTACTCCTTAATCCTTAATAGCAGCCCTTTCTTCCTTTTTATTGTTGCTGCTGTTGTTTTCAGACAGAGTTTCACTATATAATTCAAGCTGGCCTTGAATTGACTGTAGCACACAAGCTGGTCCCAAACTCCCAGTCATCCTCCTGCCTCTGTCTCCTCAGTGACTTCTCTTTGTTGGAGGGAGTGGATGTGCCAGAACCCAGTGTGGAACCACCAACAGCTACCCCTTAATCTGGCAGTGTGTTTTTGTGTTTTCTCATTTTTTCTTTCTCTTTTGTGAAAATGTTGATGTCATAACAAAGGAAATTAAATATTTACTCAGAAGCTTTGGGGATTTTTAAAAAATTCTTTTTACTCTTCAGTAACTCAGATTGAGTTCTACATATGCCAACACACTGAGCATGGAACTAAGTTGACCTTTCAGCAAGGGAGCAGAATTCAGGGTTTGTGAAGGAAGAGATGAGTAGGAAGGGAAATGAGATAAGTCTGGCCTGGGCCTGGAAGCTGCTGCCCAAGCTGCCCTTAAGGGCATCATTTGCCACATTTTGGGGTAGGTTGATAACACAGGTTAAAGAAATAAATTGTGAAGATAATTGTTACTAGTTTTGGGGGGGAGGGGTTGGGGAGATAGTTCAGTAGAATAAGTGCTTGCCTGGCAAGCACAGGATCCTGAGTTCAATCCCCGGTACCAGAAAAAAGAAAAAAAATAAATAACTTCATAGTTTTTTTTGGGGGGGTTGTTTTTTGGCTGTACTGGGGACTGAATCCAGGGTTATTAGCTACTGTAAACCTTTTTTATTTTTTTATTTTTAGACAGATTCTCACCGAGTTGCCCAGGCTGGGCCTGAGCTTGAGATCCTACTGAGTAGCCAGAATTCCAGCTGTGTGCTGGTGTATAAAGCTGGAGATATTATATATATATATATGTTTGGATTTTTGAGACAGGATCTCTCTGTGTAGGTCAGGCTAGCCTTGAAGTCACTGTGTAGCTTTCACAGGCCTCAAACTCAACCCTCCTGTCTCAGCCTTCTGAATGCTGGAATTACAGGTGCATGCTGCTGTGTCAGGCCTGAAGAATTATTTAAAGGTCTTCTTTCTTGAATTTAAGCTTAGTATTTGGGTTAATGTTACAAGTTCTTTTTGAGTTAAATTAAGTTTAAGAGATAGTTTGGAGCAGTTATTCAGAGATTGAAATATTACTAATGTTCATTTCAGATTTGCCTGTTGAATTAGAACTCATTGTAGAATAGAGAAAGCCATGACAACCTCTGTTTGGTCTCTTATTTGAACCACCATGATTTTATTCCAGTTTCAACTTTAAAATTCATTTACATTTTATAGTTTGTACTAAAAGTTCACAGTTTAGAAAACTAGAAAGTACAGTACTTTAGGTTGTGTGGCTTATCATTTCCTTGAAGTAACCAAATAATGTATCAATTTGGTGTGAGGGGGACTTGTTCCTCCTGGCTGTAGCACATGTAGATGGCTCTGGTAAGAGTAGGTACAGGGCCTCCTCTGCCTGGTCCCCGAGTCCTGTTGGAGTGGGCATGAGTGGAGCTCAGCAGACTCATCGGACCCTGGGCTTTCCAGAAAACAAATGATTCTGCAAGTCCTTACTTCTCCAAGGCTGTAGGGCCAAGTCATTTTCCCCTCTGAGGTGCTGGACACTGGGGGCACATGTGTTCCTGGGACTGGAGTCTGGGAGGTGCCCAGCCCACCTGGAAGTGAGCAAGTGAAGGTGTCCTCACGGGTATGACTGGCCAGGCACCAGAGAAAGCAGAATGCATGCTGGGAGGGTTCTTGGGGCAGGTTGTGGAACAAGGGGAGTGGGAGATTTGCTTGGCCCGATGAGGGGGTATTTTGTTTGTCTGAAAGAATGCACGATGTTCTTTTTTTTTGTTGTTCTTTTTTGTCTTTTTGAGACAGGGTCTGATCATGCAGTTTGGGCTGGTCTTGAGCTCACTTTGTAGACCAGACTGGCCTTGAACTCCTGAGTGGAGTGCTGGGATTACAGGTGTGCATCACCACACACAGTGAGGACTGTGTCTTGAAGCCCAGGTTTGGTGCAGAAACTACTGAAGTGTTCTAGGAAGATGAATTGGGCAGAAATACTTGGCTTGTTTGTTACTATTCTTATTGCCATGGTAGTAAACAAAGTATTATATATATATGAAAATAATTCTAACACTCACTTATGCTTTGAAAATGTCAGATGAGCTTGTTACATTTTGATCAGCAAGATTCTAGGGAGTCCCAAACTGTTTAACATGCAAAATGAGTTATGTCTGTTAGAAAACTGGCCCCTGTTCCTGTGCCAGCCTGCCTCCCTGCCTGCCTTCCTGCCTGCCTGTGGTTGTGTCTAGTGATGAAAGCAACACTTCTTCCTCATGGAGCACTTTTGAATATGTGCAGCTTGGCAGTGCCATGTGGGAAGGCCTACTCGTGAAGTTGGAGACAGTGTCTTCTAAGTGAGTCCTGGGGAGAAGCTGCAGCCAGGTAGTGGCATCTGGAGCTTTCTGGGTGATTGGAAAGGGTTCCCAGTGACTGGGTCCTACTCAGTGGCATGTACCACTGCTCATACCACCAGTGAGATGTGGGCGGACGAACTCTTCAGGAGCCTTTGATTGTCCCCAGGATGGAGCTGAGAGGGAGAGAGGGGGCAGGGTGGATTGTGTGGGGCAGGGCATTATGAGGAGAGCAGAGGTGAAATTCAGATTTAGAGTGTAAACCACTGACCACCAGCTGAAGACCAGCAGCGAGTGTGGCCAGAGGACAGTTTCCAGTGTGACGAGACCCACCAAGCAGAGCGGGGCAGAGCAGTCTCTGGTAAGGCTTTTCTTAGCAGGGTGTTTTCCTAGCAAGGGTTGTTGATTGGCTGTGATACATTTTCATCCTTGGGTTGTAGAGTTTGAAACATGAAGTAGCTACTTTATTATAATAGTTCCTCCCCTTGTGGGACTAAGCTTTGTTCACCTTGTCTTTTTCCTTCCTGCCCAGTCATTCTGATAGTAAGACTTGGCTTGTTTATTTAATGAGTATTTTAGGAGTTCTGTTTTGAGACAGGATTTTGCTGTGTAGTTCAGGCTGGCATTAAATTTGTGCTGATCCTCCTGTCTCAGCCTCCCAAGGGCCACACCCAGCAGGATGTTTCAGATTTAAATAATTTTAGTGTCTAAACTATTCTAGGAAACCTATGTAATCTGGCAGATGTTTGTGTGCCCTCCTGACTTCTGGCCAGGACAGGCTCCTAACAGATGGAAGCCACATTCCAGTCTGCTGCTTGGCCTCTCTGGATTTTAGTTCTCTTGTGTGATGAGGATAAGTGTTCCCATGTGTGATACAGTTGCATCTCTGTGTCCCCGTTGGACATGAGGAATGCATCTGTTTTATCTACCACAGTGCTTAGCCTGGGCCATAAGGCTCCAGCACACAGCCTTACTTCCCAGTGGTGCAGGAAAAGTGGGAGACAGGTGAGAGGCAGTGTGCTGCATGTGATTTGATTGGGAGGCTACTTGCTCATTACATTCTGTATACTGTTTGTCTTTTTTAAACTATTTAAACGTTTTAATGTAGTAAGCTGTATGCCTTTGAAACTGAGGCCATAGCTTGTAGTGGGGGCATTGAGAACCTGAAGGAAGCTGGACACAACACAGGCCTTGAGTGTCACCTGGGCCGGGATCTGTGTGCACTGCTGCTGGGGACCCAGGCTGTTTCTGTGCAGCTTCTGTTACAGCACCAGCCTCGCACAGCACCTGCTGCTGTCGGGCTCAGGAGGTCA